TTTTTGGGAAAAGTTTGTCTGGGTGTAAACAGATACCCAGACACATACAGTCATGGGGAGGAGGGGGGACAGAACCCACAAACAGACCAGAACAATTGTGAAGTAAAAAAGGCTGTCCAGAAAATGGTTCTTCAGAACTCAATAACCCAGTACGTTTCCATCCAAAAGATTGTGTGGTCATCTGGCTTTTTAGAAGAAAGGTACTAATTATTAATGCAGATGAAGCAGTTCAGCTTTTTGCTGTTCTCATTTAATTTATGAGCCTTCAACCTCGTCACAACCAGAATACTTTTCTTCTTTTGACATTTCTGTTTCACACTAGATCTCTGCATTGCCTTCTCCGTTCCTGCATACCTTTAAAACTGGTCCTTTATTCCTTCTGCCCTTCTCTCGAACGTGGCTTACTTCCTGAGCTCTGCCCCAGCCTCTCCTCCTCTAGAGCAGGAACGGTCCAAACGCCACTCTCTGTGTCTCTGCCTGTCCTTGCTTGTGCCTCAGACATCCTTTCTGCCGTGCTCGCCAGAATTCAGGGAGTTTCACCTGCCCTCTTTCTGCTGGACTTACTGTGATATTTCCTGTAAACGGTGCTGGGACGGGCACAATGCATCCATCTACTTCTGCTGTTGTTTACACACATAAACATATTACATAGGTAGATTCCACTGACACTTATGTAATTCAGATATTATCTGTCCCTTGAGCTGATTTATAAATGAGACAGCAGATACAGGTACTTTTGTGCATTGGTTACTGCTCGCCCAGAAGAGAGTTGTTATTCAGCATGCTCTTAAAAAAAACAAAGCAACATGTGACTGTCCCTGTTAAATATACTGCAAGTAGCAAACACATGATCTAGTTGTTGCCACATAGCCTCTATTGCTTAACAATAACACTTAAAAATGCTTACTGAAAAAAGGCTAAGCAAAACACAGTTATTGGATTCTTGAGCCTAAAATATTTTCAATAAATGAATAAATAAACTTCGGCAGAGAAAGTCCTCGAGATTATTTTATTTTGTTACCACCTATGTTGAACACTAAAAATTAAACGTGTCCCAAAATAAAAGATCTTTAGCTGCAGGAAGACGTGCAATGTACTGACCAGCTTCTTTTTCACAGCTCTTTCTGTGAGACTTTCCAGCTCGCTAACAAAAGCGCCCCCGCATTTTGGCATTTCATCGTGTTTATTAGCAGAGATGTCAGTGCGCGTACTTCTGCACGTCATACTGTAATGTCACGCTGGGGAGGATCAACAGTCTCATATTTTACATGCCTTTTATGCAAAATCACTGGGTTTATTCTGGTTCTGTTTTCAATTATGCCAAGCAGGTTCCTGGGTGGAACTCCACTTCAGCAGTAATGGAAATGGCAGTGGAAACACCGTCGCTCCAATGAGCCAAGAACAAGTACCAGCCTCTATTTCCATTCACAATGGTGACATGGAAAAAATACTCCTTGATGCTCAACATGAATCTGGGAGAAGCAGTTCAAGGGAAAGTTCACATTGCGACAGGTAAACAAAATGCTTTATTGTAAGCAAGGTAAAGGTCACTGTTACACAAAGCCATTTTTATGCACAAGAGGCAAAGACAAGTACAGAAATGCTTACGTACGTGTGTGTATTTACATATGCACGTGCATATACATATATGCACATGCAGAGAGGAAGAGATAGGAAAATCTCATATTAAAAAATATTACGTAAATAAAAATATTTATATAAACAATATGAAAACATTTAAAAATATTTGTATTTAAATACTAGAGTAATGCTTGAGTAGAAACCTGTCCTGAAACCAGAAAGAAGGGCAGGGGACTCTGGAGGACTTCTCACATCTCCTGAAGATGCCATCTTGGGGTTTTGGTGTGTCCTGTTAAAGGAGTCCAGCAGCAGCGGCTGAACTTCCTACAGGTGTGCTGCTTGTGTGCAGGCAGCAGCCTGGTTCTAGTAAATAAAACACTCCAGAGCCATGTGTAGCTGTCATTCTAAAGGATCAGTCCTTGTGCAGGCAATGTTAGCGCTGTTCTTAAGAGCGTGTAGTGCTACTAACACTGCTGCCTGGAACACGAATGTCAGAGAAAGGTGATGAAAAGCAACTTTTGTTTTGTAAGGAAGTACCTCAGTTAATAGTTCTTAGGTAATTGCTAAAGAGTTGTCCCATATCTAGTTTACAAAGCGTAACAGATTTCTAGGAGTATAACACAATAAAACAACTTGCATCTGATGCAGATTGTCAGTGTTATTAATTCATTTATTTGATTTTGATGCGCTGTGAAGTCTGCGGCCTAAAGTTTATGTTTGAAAAAAAAAAAAAAGGAACTACAGGACTCAAAATAGACAGTAGGATGCAGAACTTCCTAGTCTTATCTGGCTAGTTTGAATTCACACAATGCCCACTTCTATTCATCATTTGCTGCCCATTGTTATTTAGTAAGTAACAGGGGCCAAATCATTGATCCTCATGGGCATTTCTCTGCACTGCTGAAAAACAGCTCTCTGCAGCAAGCCTCTTGGCAAATTGTTAGACAGTCAAAGATTAATCGAATATGATGGCTGGACTATGTCACCCATTGACAGATTAATCTCTTGAATTATGGTTAGGGCACTGTAGCTCTTCAGGAGAACTGTGCGTATAAGCTTCACTGACTAGCTTTTAGTCCATACCATAAGCAACATCATTAAAAGTTTAATGAGTTCTTTCTTACTTGCCTTCTCTTTTTATCAAGCCCTCCTCGTTCCCAGACACCTCAGGACAGTCACAGAGCTTTGGAAATAGAGAGTCACAGCAGTGGAGAAAAGAATAGCTTTCAGGTAAAAATCTCATCTTGCTTTGGGAGAAAGTATTTCTTACTCTCATTGTTTGAAAACCAGCATTAGGAAATAAGAGGTGAAGCTGCTAATGTAGAGACTTAAGTAACTGAAGAAACTTTGCAGAATCAGGCTTTGTGTATTTGTATCTGACTTGCATGGATTTTTTTTTTTTTTTTAAATCTGTAACCTGAGATTTTTTCTGAAGAATTTAAGTGCCCTAATCTATTGTCTTCTAAAATGGGTGAGTTCTCAAATGCCTCTTTCCAGCCACAAGTTGAAAAGGCCAACCTTCAGATCTTATAAGTAGCTTTCAGGAAAAAAGAAAATCCAGAAGATAACTGCTAGTCTAGAATTTGAGAGAGCTGGAGTCAGCACCTTACTAAGCCTCCAACTTCTGGTGATCCCGAGACATCTTCTCTATCATGGTTTCACTTGTCCTGTGAAGTGGGCGTTATTCTTCTCTACTCAATAGGTCGATTGTGATGTAAGTCTAACAGATTGTGAGACAACTGGATTTTATGTTAAGGTGCATAGGAAACGCATCGATAGGGTGGGTGTATGCATGGTTATATAGGTGAACATTAACGTTCTGTGGACAATTTACCATGCAGAAGTTTCCTCTTCCCTCTTTGACTGTTGACTTGATGCATCTCGTGCATCACCTGCAATTACATTTTATTTAAATGCACTACCACTGGTGGATTATGAATTTAAAAAGTCAATTTGACAGCAGCAAAAATTTCTAGAGTGGCTTAAATGTGACAGCCAATAACATACATTTTCAAAGCACTGCCATAGCTTTATGATTCCAGTAATTTTAACAACTAGTACTTAACATCTACATGCTGCTTGGAAAAACTCACTGCTATTTCTAATTTCACTTTGTAAATTTGTTTACATACTTGCAAGGAGAATTAATAAATACATTTGAGAAAAGAGTAGGGGAAAAGAATACTGTGTATTAACTATGTTTTATCAATATATAGCTTATTGCATGATGACAGGCTAAAATCTCAAGTCTTCACTGTAGTTAGATACTAGGTTTAGTATGAAAAAAAACTACTTGCAAAACATTTTGAGGAGTGAGGTGTTAAAAGTAAGTAAATTTCACTGCTCTTCCAAAGACTTGCTGTATTATCTTCAGTAAGTCACTCTCCCTGCACTGTTTACGTACAAAGAGATACTGTTTTCTCCTTAAATTGAAATATATGCCATGCCTGTAACTAATGCTTACAGGGTTAGCAGTTAGCAACTAGAAATCAAGATTATATTTCAGTTGGAGCCTCTGCATGAGAAGAAATAGCAGTGTATGATCAACTGGCAAAAGTTACCAGCACTAAGTTACTTGTGCTCCAATGTGCAATGTTATTTCTTTAATTCTAGTAAGAACTCGTGACCTTTGCACTTTAAAAAAAAAAAAAAAGGTGATTTCTTCCATCGCCTGCTTTTTTCACTTACTATTGTTTATCATCTATAGCTGCATGTGCACTGGCTATTCTCATCTCCGGGTCTCCTTGATTTCCTTGGCTGGCTGTACTAGTTCATGGGTTATCTTTTTCTACCCAGCGTTATGAATTTTTAAAAACAAAGTCTATGTGCTCACTGTTTGTACAGTACTTAACCTTGTGGGGTTTCAACTTCATACAGCTTCTAAGTTACACAGCGGTATCAATACTACATAGATTTAATCAGTTCTCAAAATTCCATGCGCTGTGCTTGGTCCCATTGCCTCTTCCTTTATGTGAAACTCTCCCCAGCATCTCTACAACTCCTACAGGAATCTAGCTGAATGAATTACCACCTTTAGGTTAGCTACATACATTACTGGAAATTAATTCTTTTAACTTTATACTTCCAGAAAACCCTTCATGTGTTTAAAGATCATTATTTTTAGACTTTGAGAACAAATAATCGAAAGTTAGAAACCGATCAGAATTAAACTTGCCTGGACAATTTTATTTCCATCCTGAAGTGTGTATGTGTGCACATATAGCTATTTTAGTTCTCTGATCAGATACTATTTTTATCACAAGACCTTGGCTTCATTTAAAGCACATGTATTAAGCAAGAAACTATATTCTTATCCAGCATTTATGCTATTGATTGGGTTTTTTTTCTGTGCAGATGTGTGCAGATAGACCTGGGCTCACTTCACCTATGTTCCCAATACTGGCCCCAAAGCCAGGCAGCGTTACAAGACTAGAATTACTTTTGCTTGACTTGTCTTAGCTTGATCCAGGATTTTCAGATAAGTGTGACATCCATCCAGTTTTGAATGCAGGCAAAATGTTTCTTCTGCCAAATGTCAATCAGATGTGTGAACGGGAGATATTTTTGGATTCTGTATGTAAGGATTAAATGCAGGGCTCTGGCATTTTATTTCCAGGGTAGTCCTTGCTTAAGCAAATATGGGATATGGATATGGCATTTTCCATTCACAGCCTGCTCTGAAGACAGATCTCCCTCCTCCCCCTGTCTTTATCTAGTTTCTAAATACTTCCATAAAAGTAATACAGAGAGTCCACAGTGGGAAGAGGTGTGAGAAGTGAGCTTCAGAAGTAGTCCAGCATATGCTCTTAGGTGCAGAACAGGGTCTTTGTTTCGCAGTACTAACACCCTGCCTATCACGTAGTACTGAGTACTGTTTGATAATGGCTCTTTGTTTTAGTCTGAAGAAGATTTTCTTGAAAGGAGGAGAGAAGTAGAAAGGCTGCTGAAGAAGAATGCTGACTGGATATGGGATTGGTCCAGCAGGCCGGAGAACATCCCACCTAAGTGAGTACTGTCAGTGTTCCTGGATGAACTCGGATGCAGCATTTGCTTCCCTAAGTCTAAATACGTATCTGTTAATGCTGTGACTGTTTTCTTCCTCAAAACTAGGGAATTCCTTTTTAAACATCCCAGGCGCACAGCTACTCTCAGCATGAGAAATACCAGTGTAATGAAGAAAGGGGGTATATTCTCAGCAGAATTTTTGAAGGTTTTTCTTCCATCTCTGCTTCTTTCTCATTTGCTTGCCATTGGACTAGGGTAAGTTTCAATTTAAAAAAAGAAAAAAAAGGTAGATTCCCTTCCCCCTCCCCGTTTTCTGTGAGACCTAATTCTGACTCCCAGTTCCCTCATTGTCTAAAGGATGAGTAATACATGAAGACAGAGGGTTATTCAGGAAGTGCTTTCTGCTTGTCTGCTTGCGCTATTGCTGAATGTATCGAGTTTTCCTTTTCTGCTTTTCTCACTAGTTGAGTTTTTTTCAAAATAATTAAGGGGCAGTGAGATTAGGAGTTTTGTATACATATACATATATATATATATATAAAAAAAAATTACAGTTGTACTTACACAATACTTGATTCCATTGGAGATACAACTTTTAATCTCACAAGTAACACAAAGGAGAAAGATATTATTTAATACACTTTAAAATTCCACGCCCACCTGGGAGGGATGGGGGACACCAAACAAAAGAGGAATTGGTTTTCTTTAGAGGATTCAGGGGTTGGAAGATTCTTCCTTAGAAACAGCTACAGGACACAGACTAAAGGGAAGAGATTAAAGGCCTGTTAGTCAGGATCAGAGTTTGCCTGCGACTAAGCATGGCAGATTCCTTGATAATGGCAAAGAATGGTGGGAATCCAGGCACGTCTCCCATTAGTGTGCTGTACCAGACGGGAGGGCTTAGGGGAGAGGTCCGATGAGCTCCCAGGTGAGGCCTGTTCTCCAAGGAGCCTGCCCTTAGCTCCGGTCCTGCTCTTCCTCTGCTCCCTCCCCTGCGTAAACTCTGAACCTCATCAGGGCTGCAAAAGTTGAGGGTGAGGGGATGCAAGGGATTGAGGGGATGAGGAGGACTCTGCTCAGCTACTGCAGCTGGAAGGAGGGATGGCCCAAATCTTCTGTGGTCCCTGCGGTATGCGTAATTTTGGATGGATGAAGGCAGAGGTTATCTTCCTGGACAAAATCAAGATCTCGGCCACATAATACTGTAAAAGTCACATGCAACTAATATAAGTCCTTCCAAAATTAAAATGAGTAGCTGCACAAGATAGAATAAAAGGATAATGGAATTTTCCTTTCAAAATAAACACAAGTTTGATGGTGTAAGTACTTACTTTCTTTTTGGTCGCTTCCACCACTGCTGTAAATTTGCATCATTCCAGTTCCACAAAGAGTGAGTAACAGTCATCTTCAGAAAGTGCTTCATGTAATATTAGTAAAATAGTTACGCTTCAAAACAATAATTTCTTTAAGCCAAACGAAGTAAATGAATAGAAGAAGCAATGTAGGGCATCTGTGAAAGCATACCAAGCTGGGAAATAATGACCAGACAAGTAGTAAGAAAGATGTGAAGATGATAGTAAATTGAAAGGTTTGCAAATTTCAGATGTATTTAGCAAACAGAAAAACTGAAGATAACAAAACGAAAAAGGAATAAAACATCTGACTAGGAGAGCTCCTGAAGCAGTGTGTTCTTGCCAACAGCATCCTTCCCTCCGCCTGTCGCATTCCTGAAACTGGACAGCTCACGCGGAATTATTCAGTCTTAGACCTTGGGGAGCGTTGTTAGACAAGGGTATGTCCAAAGTCACTACCAACTGAAAACCGCGTTTCATAGTAGTCACTTGATTTGCCTGCTTAATGATAGCTGGCCCTGCTGCTCCTGCCAGATGTGACAGACCTCGTAACCTGATGACAAAAAGAGCGGTCCTTACGTGCTGTGCTTTCTTCTTGAAATGCGGTGCAATGCTTACTGACGCTGTGCTCTTGATCCTCAGGGTTTACATTGGAAGACGCCTTACGACCACAGCTGCAAGCAGTACGTTTTAAAGGCACCTGAAACCTGGCTTCGAAGCAGAGCAAATGCTCATCTGGGAGTACAGGAGGTGAAGAGCAGAAACGCCCGAGCTAGCCATGACTGTGTGTGATCAGTGTGCACTTGGTCTGTAAATGTTGTGTTCCTAGTTCAGCAAGGATGGGAAAAGAGACGCTAAAGCTAATGTATCGTATATAGTCTTCTGGGTCGATTCATAGAGCATGTTTCAGGTGCATTAACATCTGTTATCTTGCTTTGTAGTGAAGTATCTTTGAAAATTATAAGAACTTGATGTTTAAAACCAATCCTAGCTTTAGTATAGCAATTGTGATTCAGCCAGGTATTCATCTGAACTGCTGTTTCTTTCTCCTTCGTAGATGTGAATATTTATCACTGCTACTGTCATCTTGACAATAAGGGATTAGCCCAAAACAATGTGTGGCCTTATGTATCATATACGGGAATTCAGAGAAGCTTTTACCTCACTTGAGGCAGTTCCTTCCCTACGTAGGTGTTGCTTAGCTCTCTTTCACCTTTGTGTGAGACATTGAGAGACGCAGGCAGCTGGAAGAAACGAGCGTACGAGTAACACTTCCATCAGTTTTCACTAGTTCAGAGCTGATGCGCAACAGCCTGAATTAAAATTTGGACTTTAGTGCCTAATAAATAGCTTTTGCAAAGACACTTATTTAACTCCCCGATTAACAGAAGTTCCTTCCGTTGTATCTATTTGCAGACTACTGCTTCTCAGTCTTTTTATCTGTAAAATAATAAATTTGCATCTTACACTTGCCTCATCCTTGTATAGATTTAAAAAAGGCTGGCCTGCGTATTTGTTTTTACTAATGGAATGCCTTTTCATTCAGTGATTTTTACCTTATTTAATGAGAAGAAAATGAACGTTTGCCAAAATACCATGTTTTATATATTTAAATAAAAAGGTTCCTCGTGCATTCAGAGTTTTCTTCTTTTTCTCTAATAGTTGTTGAAAGTGGTTGGCAAAGCTCATGTGTGAAATTCTTGTCTAACGACAGTTGACTTGCACGACTGACAAGTAAGGAAGGAGTTTCCATAGAAAACAACTTCATTGCTTATTCTGAGACTTGAATATGGCTAAGCTATCAGTAGAAGTCACGCAGTAAACAGAAACTCACTGAACTTGCAAATACGTGTTCTACTTTGTACCGTCATTATCATTTAGAAATAAATTTGCTTTCTACTTAGCCTGTATTTAGCAGTACTGACTTTTTCTTCTGTGCTTGCAGTGGAGCCTCTAGCGATGGGGTTCGTGGCGCCTTGTTGTGCCGTAGGGAGTCCGTCGCTGGCCCTCACCCCGGCCACGGGACCAGATGCTGCCGTGCAGGGCGGCACGGGCATTTCCTTTTCCGTGGGAGTAAATCACTTGTTCTCACTCGTAGGAACGTGAACACACGTCTTTTACAGGGGGACCAGGATCTGTTTGCCTTTTTGCTGTATGTTTGTTTGCAATAAAATGTGGCTTTATGGAATTATATTAATTTCTGAATAATATTTCCCATACATTAAAATGGACAGTTTTTTTTTAATCTGACTACAGTTGGAGTTGAACCTCAGTGTTGCACCAAAATAGTATTAAAAACATTGGTATCAGAATTAGTACTAGAGCTGCTGCTTCTCCGCCTTTGAAAGAACAACTTGGTGTTTTTTTGTTGTTGTTGTTTTTTTTTTTAGTTGGTGTTTTGTTGTTGTTGTTGTTTTTTTTTTAAACCATTGCATCCCAATTTAACTAAAAGGTTCCTTTATAAATAGTGCTAAAGCCCCAGTGCCTCACACCCCATGTTCTTTCACTTACAGGCGGGAGAGCGGGGTATTCTGTGAGCTCCAGCACATGCACACATGCATGTTTTATTTAACCAAGGTCCTTGGTGTTTTCTTTTTTCCTTTGTGTTCGGTATTTCTTGTTTTTGCTGGAAGATCCATTGACTGCATTGGAAATTCCCTGGGTTCACGTTCCATTATGCCTGGTATTTTAAAAAGATTCACAGAACCTGTTAAAGGCATCTTAGAATGGCAGCGAAGTGATAACGTGCTTGCGTACTCCTCCTGTGTATTGCAAAGGGAGATGGTGTGGAAGTGTCTGTCGGGGGTAAGGGAACTGCATCGGTTCATTGTTCTTTTCTCCTTCCTCTTTTCAAACACGGGAGCGAAGCAATTCCGCGTGGCCAGGAACAGCGCGCCCAGCCCGACAGCCCTGCGAGGGAGAGCTTTGGGAACAAAGGGCCCTGCGGCCGCCGGCACCGCGCCCCGGCCTGGAAGGGAAGATGGCAGCAGCCGGAGCGCTGGCAGATGGAAACACCCCAGCGTCAGCTCCCCTCGAACCTTGCCGTGTCCTACGTAACCGTTATCACAGACTATCGTAGGAAAATGAAGAAAATGTCCTGTATACTTAAACCATCTTATTCACATATTTATCATTACCAGCACCTTGACAAGTGCCATATCCAGTATCTGTCACAGCTGCTGAGAAAACATTTCTCATTTACATTGCTACTTTGATTTGATGTTACAGTGTCCTTTTTTTAATTATTATTCCACCAGCTCCACCAGCCCTTGGGCTGACACCCGTGGGTGTGTGTATCAGCCCTTACAACATCCATCTCACGCAGCGTGGGCCCCTGCCCCGCAGGTCATCACAGCCCAGAAACCCCCTTGCTCCTGGCCGAATGGTCACTAAAATCGGTGTGGTCAAACTGCAGCGAGTGAGCGAGTGGGTGCCAACAGCTCCAGCCGGGAACGGGGCGGTGGCGAAGTCACCTCGGTCGCTCCTTCCACAGTCACAGACAGTGAACTTTATTTCAGCTTAGGCACAATGAATGAGGGTTTTAGAGATAGGCAGTTACCTGTGCATGTGCAGGTGTGTGCTACTTTTCCAAAAGCTGTTGAGCAGAAATAGTTTGTCCATTTTCGGTTACTGCAAGAAGCTGAAGGTAATAACCACAGACAGGCTGTGTAGGTACAGGGGTAACCATAGACACCAAGGTGTAGGTACAGGGTAACCACAGACACCAAGGTGTAGGTACAGGGTAACCACAGACAGCTGGGTGTAGGTACAGGGTAGCCACAGACACCTGGGTGTAGGTACAGGGTAACCACAGGCACCTGGGTGTAGGTAAGCTGCCTGCAATTAGCTGTTGCATCAAGAACGCAGCAGCCGGGTGCGCTCAGGGGTGCTAAGGCTGCACGCGGGTGCTGGGGTGCTGCCGTACACGGGTGTCCCACACCAGTAGCACTCCATTTGCCCCCAGTTTTAGGACCATCATTCAGAAAACCTCATATGCCACCCACTATCCCACCATGGTTACATGACATGCCCAAGGCGACGATTACCCATTTCAGAAAAGAACAACATGTGAAACACCTAAAAGAAAGGCATGGATGGGTGATGTCCGTATCAGAGGTTTGTGTTCATAGCAGCAACTTCTCAGGCCACCCTGATCCAAGCTGAAGTGGGGTACACATAATGATTATTTTTAATGTGACTGAAAAAAGCAAAGTTAATTAAAAAACCCCAAACCTAGTCATCGTGGTGCCATTAAACTAGCAAAATATTTGACATCATTATCCAATTACTGGTCAAGGCGTTCTTGTAGAGCTACATCAGGTTTCTATGGTCAAGTGTTGGCCTTTTGCCTATGTGTTTTCAACAATGATTTCTGTAATAGAAGCCTCCTACAAATTTCATGGTTATCAATTTTTTAAAACAGTTTTAAAGTGCACAGGCTTCTCTAAATCCATGGAACCAGCAGACAAGTAGTCCAAAAGAAATATAAACACGAACAGAAATGGCCCAGAACTGCCTTAACATGCCAGATATTGACAAAATTTGCACTGAAGACTTTAAGCTGTTTGATATTCGTACTTCATTCCAGAGGAAATGGAAAATTCCGTCAATTTTAAACACAGCCCACTTCCAGTCCAAGGAGCTTTATTTCTGTAGAGAGACAAAGTGAGTAAAACTTGGTATAACTTGTTTAACGAACCTCATTCCCAGTTGTGCTTCCAGCCGTGGCCCCGA